CGGGTAGTAAGGCTGGGCAATTCTCGAATACCTGATGAATTCACAATCGAGTCGAATATTTTTTTCGAATAAAATTGTATGTAACTTTCTTATTGTATTAGGTCCTCAAGACATATAAATCACTGAAAGCATAGAATACATCACTCAGGCAGATTGCTGATCGGTCACACACAATAAAAAACACATTTTCATTAATAACTCACTACAGAAAAGAGTCATATGTCAGAATTACATTGAAAAAATATGGCTTCAATAAAAAAAAAATTGAGAAATTCACTCGACCATTGGTGAAAAAAAAAGATGGCGGCGATTCGAAATTTCGCTCTGAACCGATTCGAATAATTTACTGTAAGATTCAAAATGCCCAGCCCTAGAGGATAGTGAATTCCAAATAGCCAAAGTTTGGCGTCAAATTTGGGCGTCAAATTTGGGCGTCAAATTTTTCGTCTTGTAGCGAAATGGCTGTAAACGATTGAGAGCTTATATGCTTCTTGGTATGAAACTCGTGAAGCGCGAAATAATAGTTTTCATTTGTCAACAGTCAATGTTTGTGCGATGGGCATGAAATCACGTGCTATACCCGACTCCGCCATCAGCGTGTCGTCTGAACATACTGGAGAATACAATGGGAGACATGGAAGGTTGGACGAAACGGCGGATCATTCATATGGCGTTTGGCATGCTGTAGCAGGTGAGTAACAAATACTAGAGTTTCAATGTACATTTTCACATAGATAAGAGTAAATTTATTGATTGCTCATCGTGTATACTCCCGACGACAAACAAGAAACAAGCCGGTTTCCAAAATAGGATTGAGTAGTGTCCGTTTAAACGATAGATATGCCCGCGATGCGCGAATGAAGTGTATTTTCATTTGTTAAAAAAAATAGGAGACGAGTTAATTGCAAGACGGGAATCATAGAATATTCATTTGCAAAAGAATGAAAGATAACAATAACATTTTCCGAATGTATTTTCATCTGTTTGGTCTAGAAATAAATAAATCATGCGTTCAAATTGTTATCTATATTTAAAAAATATTCCGCTGCAACAAAAAAATTCCGAAAACATTTTAATATTATTTTTAGGTCTAATTGACGAATGGTTCCAAGTTGATTTTGGTGTCAAAAAATCTGTAGCCGGAGTTGTTTCTCAAGGACGCCCAGCATGTTGCAGCCAATGGGTAACATCGTACAAAGTAGAAATCGCAAATTCAACAGATATGTTTGAGCCGGTTACTGAAAATGGCGCTGTCAAGGTGAGCTATTGGGGCTTGTTTGGTATGAAGTACTACGCCATAGTAATGCACTATTAGCGTGCAATGCGCCACGATATTGTTTACTCTTTGAACTTCTAAATATTTTGTTGAGTTCGAAATATTTCTAACCAAGCTTTGCTCAGGGGGGCAGGATAATTGTTTTAATTGTGGTATAAATGATAGTAAGATAAAACAAAAATATCTGTATTATTAAAGTTTTTGCTTCATTATATGAAGACTTTGATAACTAGATTAACAAAATCAAATTGACACATTTTTTCGTTCAGATATTCAATGCGAATGAAGATGGCGACACAAAGGTTACGAACATATTTCCGACTCAAATAACATGTCGATACATCAGAATCTATCCACAGGCATGGAATGGCAGGATTGCAATGAGATTGGAATTTATTCGTGGAGAATGTTTCGATTTGTACTGATGAAAATTTGGGGGTAACTCCAAAATTTAATACGACAGTGCCATTCTTACCCCAAAAATACATTAACGCTTCATGTGCTACTACAATTACGTGTAGTCAAAATTGCGAAAAAACGAGGGAACTTTCATAGCGAAAAACATCATTTGTGAAATAACAATACTTCTGTCAAATTGGAGAGCAGATATCCTGGCATACGTATAGTATTTTTTTTTACAAAAGCGATTTGGTGATTTTTTTTTCCAAAATGGTATAATGGCATTGGCGACCCGTTTTCTTATGTCTTGGAAATCATATATAATAATTAATAATTAGAAGCATCTGCAATAATTAAATTTAGTCATTAATCTGGATCAGCGTTGTAGGTGTCGCTGCTTGAAGACCTTTCGACGTTCCTCGCGACTCCTGTCACACAATTGAAGTCAGTCTTTTTTTGTTTGCTTTATATTTGCCATATTTCTCGTAATGTATTTATATTGTGTTGGCAAATAAATGATGATTTATTGATTGATTGATTACCACCGTTTTATTATAAATATATGGCGCTCTCGTAGTATGTACACCAAGATGGCATACACCGGAACGTAGTACGTTTACCAGGTTAGGACATCATTTTATTCTAATTTCCCTTATTTTAGTTCTATTACGAGTTCGGGGACTAGCCAAATGACTCCTGTAGTATTTGTACCTAAAATCATGACCTAACCCTAACCTGTTAAACAAACTACGTCCTGGTGTCTTCCGTCTTGGTTCACTACATGAGTATCAAATATATTTGCAAAATCTAAGTTCTTCCAAATAACAGAACCATCAATGAAATGCTTATATAAGCGATGATTTTTACAGTAAATACTTCCGTTTCCCGTAATGCTTATTCAGTTCCTTGGTCATTTTGAAATATTTGTTCAAATATAAAAAACAAAGTTGCCGAATCGATGCAGCCTGACGGAATTGGAATCCAAGATATTTTCGTTTTTTGCTTGGAACATGAATAGTACAATATTAAACACGATAGTAGGTTTATGTGAAAGCATTTATTGAATCATTCATTATTTTATTATTTCCAATCTGGTATTCATTTTAATTAAGTTACTTTGCAATTGCTATATTTTATTTTTGTCTTTGTCGTTTTATTCTATTCCATGAATCATAATACAAATCATCGTGTATAAATGAAGTGAGAGAGTTTTTTTTCAAAAAACAGTCGTCCCAATAAAAAAAAAATGGCGAGTTAGTTTGTTATTGAGTAATAGATGAATCGGATTGCGTCACAGCTCTAGTACAGTGTTCTGTGTTTTAGGACTTAGCTGTTTCAATAAACCAATTCGTTCACAATTATACATGCATACGCCTTCTAATAAATTGCATACAAATGGAAACAGGCTAAGGAATGCAGTAATTAAACGAATAGATCAGATTAGAGAATTAAGCGCCCACACAGTCGTAATTGCAGGCACGGACTGTGAGGTCCATGACCAAGACGGTAATACATATCTGCATAAATACCTATTTTAATACCTTCCATGCAAATACAATTTGGATTCGTAATCAACTACTAAATTCAATTGCTATTTTGTCAGCGCTTAATATTATAGAAAAGGGTTACTCATGTAGTATGTGAACCAAGATGGAGGACACCGGAACGTAGTATGTGCACCAGATTAGGCCATAATTTGAGGTACAAATACTACGGGAGTCACGTGGCTAGTCCCCGAACTCGTAATAGAAATAAAATCGGGAAAATTGGAATAAAATTATAGTCCAACCCCAACCTGGTACACATACTACGTTCCAGTGTCCGCCATCTTGGTTCACACCTACTATGGGAGCTCCAAAAAAGCTATGATCACAATATGCGTCAATTCAATTTTTGAATGTCTTTAAAATTTAGGCTATTTGGATTTTGTTTTGAATGATCTTTTAAAAAATAAAGTATTAATAGTATAGTTTATTTAGTATAGAAATTTTGAAAAAATTATCTGTTAAAAGTCTCGACCAATATGTATTGGTGCTCAAATGACATTCTAGATAACACATTTGAACACAGTAAACTTGGGAATAAAATATACATTCATTTTTATTATTGCGTCAGAGACAGCGAGATGCTTTTCGAGATTCGTACTGGAGTCTACTCCCTTTGCACAGTGAACGCTTCACGAAGTATCATAATCGTGACTCCTGTCATTTATAAAGTTACGGATGAGGCTGAATGACATAATCAACATAACTGAACGTGAATAAACGCTAGTGACTGAATGCAGTGGTGTATCTACGTAAAATTACTGCAATGGCAAAATTTGAAAATGCGCCCATCTTGATATTTGGTTGACAATTCATAGTGACTGTTATAATGAAATGAGATACTTGTACGTTATTATAAAAATACGAGTTTAAATTATTACCAATTTGAAATTATTTTATTGAAAATTTTAGAATAAAACGTTTCACCGTTATTTGCTCCTGTACAAACGGCGCCCATGGCACGAACCATGGTTGCCACACCTTAGATACGCCACTGTCTGAAAAATAGATATGTTGAAAAATAATCATGCCTTAGACAGAGGATATGAATAAAAAAACGTGACACATTTGAGACTGTTAATTTAAACTTAAACATACGTGAACACACAGATTGATTACTGCCAATTGAGAGCTTAGTTTCAGCTCGCACAAATTGTTCAGAAATTACCATGAACGATGGATACGTAGGTTAGATACATAGATACATAGGTGGTTTGAAGATGTAGATTGTAGATTTTAGTAAAAAAAACACTTCATCTGTCCTAATTGGTCATTTATGAAACAATATGTATAAATGAAGAATAATTGCTTTTCACGATTAAATTAAAATTCGTTTTTTTTTAAATTTAATCAATATTGAGTTCTCACGAAATGGAAGTTTCGAAAACTATCAATCGCTATGAATACAGAATTATGGACATGGTGTGGTATGGATATCACCCTCGCATACATGGAAAGCGTCACAACTAAAGTTTGTTTTTATTTTGAATCATCCATGCTATCTTCAAAAGAAGATCGACTAATTTTCAGCAATTTTCTTAGTGCAAGTTCGGTTTTCGAGAGATTCGAATCAGCCTCTTCTGTATCTTTATTTTGTGAGACTGAATACTATTTAAACTTCGTTTGCAATAATTATTGATGTATTCAGTTTTGGTTAGTTAGAGGGCAATTTTAGAATTTGATAGCATTTACAATTAACGCAAGGAAAAGTTAGAATACATTTTTGTAATATATTCTAGAACAAACCCCATTTGTATAAAATATACATTTTTATAAATGTCAGTTCATACAAAAGATACCTAAACTCAACCTAAAATTAACATAATTTGAATATTCATATAATATTAGCATTGAAATTTTATGGTTCATCGATTGTTATTGTGGGTGTGTGATGGGAGGTTTCTCACGGCGGATTCTCCCCTGCATTCAGGCGAACTCAGCTAGTTTATTGTTTGGACATTTTGGCCCGAAGTTAAAATTGCCATCACGAGTGATATCTGGTACTTTTTTCGGTAAGAACATTTATATTTTATATACTACGTGATTCCCAAACTCATTGATGTATCAACTTTCTAGATTAGTCATAAAGCAGTTCACGGTCTTTGTTTCCAAACATTTAAGATTTACATATTGTCTATTGATCGCAGAACACTTTTTTTCAGTTTTTCTAGATTTGTATGTTTGCATATATTGGGTATTCGTCTATCTATACGTTAGAAGCAACCCTCACGATCGTCTGAAGGCCAACTCTTAAAAATATGTGTCATTCTTTTCGTCCATGTTGTGGCAGTGTGGTGCAACGTGTTTTCAGAATTTTCTATTTACTCTTTCCCCTAAAATATTTCGGTTTTTTGATTCTGTGATTGCGGGTTCAAAGTCTACTGTTGTGTTGTCACGAGTGGATTAGGCTACAGCTACGGCCATACTGTGGGCACAGTTTTTCCTTTTTTTAAACTTACCCTCTCACTGTAGTCAGGTAGCGGACATTGTTATTTTTAAACATTGCTTGAGACTACCTCACATTATGTATTGTTATAGTGATAAAGCAAAATGAATACAGGAATGCTCCTATATCTGTATATAGTGTTAAACACTCATACAGTACTGCAGTAATACCGTACTAATACAGTAATAGTTCTGGGCTGTTGGCAGGTTGAGCTGTACATACTTATGTACTTTTTTAATAACACACTATCAGGGTAATATGTGCCCCTTCCAGCCTTTGCTTGAGTTCATTAGTCCAATGTTCCACGTCATCTTGAGCAGTTTGACAAGTGAACTCAGGCTACTGAATCATTTCATTAATCATTAATTAAAATTATCTTTTATTACTTTGCAAACTCAGATAAGAATTGCCGAATCGCATATTATAAAATCGCCAGCATGGCAGAAATGTTGTTAAAACGTAAACCACCGAAGAATGAAGTAGTCATGGATGAGGAGAAGTGAGTCTTAAGTTAATTTCTGTGGATTTATGTTTATTTACAAATTACATACTGACATATGTATATGATTGTAGTCAAACATTTATTGATAAAATGTGCCATTGAGTAATTATTCAGATTTTGGCATTTTATGATTCGCATTCCAACACCACTGGAATGATACTCGATATAAATACAAAAATAAGAGACTATTTCGAGCAACAATGAAGTGCCACTGCTGTTACCTCTTTGATTTTATGAAAAATCGGTTTTCTTCAGTTCTGGGTATCTAATAATCTTAACTTATCCTACCCTAAGACAAACAGAATCAAAACAGATCAGAAAATTGTTGTTTGGTGTTTGGCATTAACAAATTAGCGGCTGGCCAATAATGGAATTGTACCTTGTATTCTATTATCGTATTTTGCAATCTAGATATTTCACTGAAAAGGTTATTGTCAGATTAATCTAAATATTGTGTTTTTTCTTATAATTTTGATCATATATAACATGTTTTACAAATATATTAAAGATTGTCATCTGTCCTACATCTGGAATATGAGATCAAATAACTCAATGATTCGTTTTATAGAATGGAAGTTCATGATCGTGCATATAAATTATGCAAGGAATATCTCGGCGGAAAATGGTCAGAGTTAAAAAAGAATGAATTTCAATTAAGTGTTCTTGGGTGAGTATGGCTGGATTATTATATAACCACCAATATCATACTGAATATTATGCCATCACAAAAGCAGTGACAGTGCTTCTTCACAATTTTTTTTTATAAGAATTTGCTCTAGGCAAGGTCATGTACATTCACTCAGAAGGGAATGAGACCAATTTCTTAGGAAATTTAAGAGTGAAATTTTAGAGCGACTGAAACCATATAAGAGATCAGTTTTTGTTTTGAGGGAAGTAGCTACAAAGTTGTGAATTTCACACAACTTAAGCTCCATGAAAAACTCTTGGCATAAAATAAAATTTGTCTTTGATATTCAGAGTTAATCTACTTTTGGATTTCAGTTTGATAAAACAACTTTCTTTTTCTTGTTAAAATATTTTAATTGTTGATCAGACTTGCGTGATTTTGTAAAAATTTCGAGAAATGAAAATACATTTCTATTCATTTATAGAGGAGGTCTCACAAACAAGTTATACATTTGTCAAATTCCAAAGGAGATTCGAGATTCAAACTCAAAAGTACCACACACTATTCTTCTACGACTGTATGGATTAATTATTCAGGTCAGTTTTTTAATTTTTTTGCGTAAGTAATTGAACATACAAACAAGCATCATAGTTAGTTGGTTTCAGCTTATGTTTTGGCTATTTTACTTTCAGTCATCAATAATTTACTGAGGTAATTTTAGAATGATTTCTATATTAATCAATTAAGTTCTCCATTAGAATTGAAATGTGATGTTTCTTTTGCAGCATAGTAATGAATCTTTCGTGAAACTGGAATAAAATACTGGATGCTTTTATCGATATGATATCTGACAAACTTACCGTAGTCCTATGCATCTTAATGTTAGAAATGGAGAGATTGTCATAATAATAAAACTTCTTTCTCCCCCCCGAACTAGGAAATCTTCAAAAAAATTCATCGCCAACTTTGAATTTCTGTTTAACCAATATTTTTTATCTCGACTTTTTAAATTTGTATTTTATATTTAGGATTTTGTTGCTCAGATTCAAGAAAGTGTTGTATTTTCAATATTGTCAGAGCGTGGTGTTGGACCTCACTTATATGCCGTGTTCCCCGGTGGCAGATTAGAAGAATATTTACCGGTAGGATTTTTATCCATTTCTGACGAATTGGTGAAATTGAATATGCCGAGTTGAGCTAAGCTCACAGATTCTCATGTCATGCTATAGTTGCTTCGAAAATATGTAATGACGAATGAGATTATTGTAGTCTTGTCGATAGTTGCTTGTGACTCAACTTTTATTCTTACTTAGATTCTTACTTACCTATGAGGTCTTGTGATTTTACCTTGAATGACTATTTATAAAAATTCTAATGTTTTTTTTATTGCAAAATTTATTACAGATTTTACTTTTTTTGGGGGGAAAATACTTTTCAGGAAACTATAAAATGTAACCATGTTGTTTTGTTAAAACGAGAATTAATGTTTAACAATTCTCAAAGTAAATCTGAATAGTTTGATGGAGAATATGAAACTATCAAATCTAACTTTATATTTTACATTAATTTTTAGTGTCAAACGCTAATGACCAAAGATCTTCATGATCAAGCATTATCTCGACATATCGCCAAACAAATGGCAATTTATCATAAACTAGTGATGCCGGTAAAGAAAGAACCAACATGTATCATGAGCAGACTCCAATTGTAAGTTTATCCTTTTTTTGAGCTGGTTTTTATAATACTAATTTAATGAAACTTTATTCGGTACTTTGTTGTAGTAATAATAATAATTTAGTATGTTTTTTTAATTATATCTTAAAATTTACCCATTGAATTGCTAAGGAAAATCCTTTAATTTCAGGTACTATGAAACTGCTGTACATATGAAATTTGATGATCATAATAATACAAAACTACTAAATTTATTGAGAGAATATGATCTTGAGAACGAACTGAAATACATAAAGTAAGTTGTTGTCACATTTTGTGAGTAATGAGTAATTACTTCAATTCTTTGAACTTTGACATGGTGCATCCATCAAGCCAAGCGTTAAGAACATGCTTGCCATTGCACCTCTGATTACCCTGCGTAGGCCGCTGGTCCGAATACTGTGAGAGATAATTAGGCGTTCCAGAAGTGTGTGTACCAATATGGATGAAACTAATTTTGTTCGCCTACTCTACATCAAGTTGTGTGAAGGGACTGATTACTATGGGCTAGAGAGCAGGATTACATTCACTTGGGTAACACAGAACTCAGTCCTCGAACTCCTAATAAAACAAAATAAGGAAAATTGGAGTAAAATTATGGCTTAACTCTAACCTGGTACATACACTACGGGAGTACCGATAATTATGTGTGACTCTCGCTGGACTTCTCACTGCCGTAGGGTAGTTTTCCTCTCCCCTGGGATAAATATCTAAACCCTATCCTAATACCATATTCGACATTGCCTGATAAACGGACGTGGGGTCTTGGCACACTATTGATTAAGCCGTCTAATCAGCTTTCCCCTTCCCTGGGATAAACCTAAAAATGCTATACTAACTATTTGTGAATGATTAAATTGTATATATGTATTATGTACCATACTTACTTCTAATTGTCTCTGAAGGGAGTCTTAGTGTAAATAAGTGGAGGATGAACCTGTTTATCTATATTGTAATTAATGTAATGCTGATGCTATATGTAGCTCTTATTAGTCTAACTTTCCATTTTTTCTTCCAATAATCTTTTAATCATAAGTTTTTGTTAAAATCGCAATTACTATTGGGGAAATCTTAAAATGAAAATGAAAAGCCTAGGGCAATGAACAGCAGTAGGGATTTTTGGTGTAAATTCTGAATGGTGTTATCAATGAACTATTTCTTTTTTTTTGTCATTTGGCATAGGATGTCAAAATTTGTGAACTTGAAAGGAATTGCTATAATCTTACTTATTAATATTAAACAATTTTTATTTTTTTCATACGGTAATAAATATCAACATCCATATTTCAGGAAACTTGTGGCGGATACTGATTCACCAGTTGTATTTTGTCATAATGACGTACAAGAAGGTATTTGTAAACCGTTTTTATCCAAATGTTATTGGCAATCATTCCTACATTCATCCAATTGTGTTTTGGAATATTTTAATACAGGAAGTTGATGATAATAATGTGTTGATACAAATTTGAAATTGAGTGATTTGAAATCACTCCTTATTTAATAATAAATTTGATTATTTTTTATGATTATAAAAGTTGTCCAATTCAAAATAATTATTTTTCAAAATGTGATTTCATTTGTCACGACTGTTTTTCTGCATAGTTTGCTGCTTTTGATTGAAAAGTATATTATTTTTAGATTTTACGAAGTGCATAATATATAAAAAAGATTTTGATTTTGTTAAAATTGAGTTCGAAAAATCAAGTGAAATTTTACTGTTCAAAACTACATAAAAACCTGATTTGAATTTAATTTGGTGCCATGATAGAAATTGATGTTTTTGAACAATATATTCTAACCTAGTGGTTCTCATACTTTTTAAGTCGCGCCCCTTTTTAGAATTTGTTAAACGATTAGAGATTCTTTATTGTTTAGAGATTGCAATATCCAGAATAAGGCAGGCACGATCAAATCTAACATTTATTTTTAATTAGCCTCACGTCCCCTCAAGAAATTTTCTGCTCCGCTCCACCGTTGAGAACCACTGTTTTAAACACTACATGTGTAGCATGAAAAAAATCGAATATTCGTGTAAAAGTTTAATTGATCTCATTCAAAATTTGTTTCTTTAATTGAAAATGTATAGATACAAGACATGTATCACGACAACATGTATCACGAGTCACGACAACATGCCATTTAAATCAATTTTGAAATAATCGTTACAGGAAATCTCCTTCACATGGACAACACAATGAATCCGGTACAGATGATTGATTTTGAGTATAGCGGATATAATTACAGGTAATTGAGATTTATAGAAACTCAACTACAGCTCTTTGCCTTTTTATTCAACATTTTATATTTGGTTCATACTGAACTGCTAATTATGGAGCGGCTACTATACTTTGAAAAGGCCGAAATATTTGCAATTACCCATTGCCTAGCTAACTTATTACACCCTGTGTAAGGTTTTTGATTAAATTTGGTTTTTCCAAATTTTTTTATCTGTGATGCCAACATGTTAAGTTCAACTCTTCAACCATTAGGTCATCATGATCACACATTGCACATAGGCTTAGTTATAAGGTTTAGTTTATTTGACATCAAATTTGAAATGCCAGCATCTAATCTAATGTCTTCACCGATTTTAAGAAATTGAAATGTCAGAACTATTGCTTAGTCTATTGTATTTGCTGTTTCTTCTTCTCAGACATTTATTGTAGAGCAAAAAAATTTAAGAATATCGAACTATATTTTATTGACCATTGAACATAATTAAAATAACTTACTTATGATGCAATTATTAATGGGAACTTTTATTTTATCACCACAAGTCTTACTTGATTTGTGTTATCTGAGCTAATTTATGGTCAAAAGACAACTGCTCGCTTCCCAATAGAGATTGTTCTCAATTTCTTATGACTCTTCAAGTGGTTTAATGTTTTAATGTTTTTACAAGAAAGGAATCAGAAACCTTACAAAATTGATCTGTAGAATGGTATAAAACATAACTACAAGAAAATCTTTATTTGATTTTTTAAATAATTGTACATAATGCATATGCGAATGCGACCAATATTTTTATTTAATACTCATGTATATATTTTAAGGGGATTTGATATTGGAAATCATTTCTGTGAATGGGCTTATGATTATTCGTATTCAGAATGGCCCTTCTACTTATATAAAGATGAGGACTATCCCACAAAAGAGCAACAGGTAGAGAATTGTTCTGTACAATTTGCAGCAATGTGCATGAATTAATATCCCTGCATATAGCATAAGTACCCTTGTGAGCATTTTTATTATTCTTTAAAAATCTAAGGAGGTAACTTTATACAGCTGTTTATTTTGTGGAACAAAGTCCATTTGCTTGTTTTGCCAGACAGCAGTTTTCTTGGACTTTGTACCTCTTTGGCTCAGTTGTTTGTTTAGTTCTCTCACTTTGATAGGTGCTTGTAATCATAGCAGTATGATGGCTGTATTGTGAAATAACTTGTTTTCCCAATTTTGATTTATTTCTACTTGATACTTTGTAAAGAAACCAAGCCCCTTAATATTTATTGCCATAAATTTGATTTTTCGAAACAATTTGGTAGTTAATGGCCGATCAAGTTCAGATGCAGTTATGTTATACCTTCAGAAGTTATTGCAACTGCTAAACATCATGATTTAGCTTCTACATTCACCCTACTAGGTTCAATCAAGTTGTTTAATTTGCAAAAAGTTAGTACATTGTTTCCATTTTTTATATGGATAGTCTGATTTTGATTGTTGGCCAATTCCTCTTCAGTCATCATCTAGGCTTAATCAGGAGTGAAAGTTCATTAAATTTATGAAAAATTGGAAACATTTTATATATATGGACCCATTTTGTTTATCTGTCAATTGTTGAATCTTGAATCCGCAAAAATGATGGCGTAAAACACTTTCACAAGAACCTTTTTCACTTTTAAATAGTTTGTAGTCTCGAGTAAGCCTACTATTCATTTATGTTGTTCATGTTCATTTATTCAGATAAACTTTATTCAATCATATATCCGAGAATATTTTTCAACCAACTCATCACATTCACAATCTGATGAAAAGTGGCAAGTCGATTTCATGATCAAAGAAGCAAACAGGTAAACTAGTTTTGATGTTTTATTTTCTGTAGATTCATCTATGACTTATAGTTATTATTGCTAGCCTAGGGGTTAGTGTACTGAGCCTAACTAGGTGTATTTTTGGTCAGAATTTATGCCCAAAATTGGGTATTCCCTTAGTATGTGTACCAGGTTAGGGTTAGGCCATAATTGTATTCCGATTTTCCTTATTTTAGTTCTGTTACAAGTTCGGGGACTGTTTGTGTTAGGCAAATGAATATACCCCTTTACACAACTTGATGTAAAGTAGGTGAACGAAATGAGTTACCTTTTGGTACACATACTTCTTGAGCGTGGTAGCGTCTTATCCATCAGAATGCTGCTGTCCATAACTTTGTTTGAAAGCAACACAGAACTGTTTTAGGTAAACTGTGGGTAATCATTGTAAGCAAGTAAACACGAATAACAGTCAAGTTTAGGCACATACAATTTTCAACATTCCTTCCTCCAAAGCTTTTTTATCCATGAGTTATTATAGGCATTTGTAGAATTGATACTAATATTTGACTTCATTTCAGGTTTGCTCTATTATCTCATTTCTTCTGGGCAATGTGGTCAGTTGTTCAAGCAAAAATGTCAGACATCAGCTTTGGTTATATGGTAAGCTGTTATATTCTTTATTTGGTGCAAAGTTTTAGGAATATAGAGCTAGTTTTAATTTTTAGATGTCGATTAGGCTTACCGTCAGACTCTTGAATTTTTCTAAATTGTATTGAACTCTCTATTTATGTAACACCTTCCTTTGAATTTTATCCTTATTGATGTGAAATGAAATCTAGGCATGTTTATTCATAAACTTGACTCAAATCAGTCCTGAACTTCCGTAATAAGTATTCTATTTTTTCACTATCATGTAAATACACTTTGAACAAGTAAAAACAAACATAAAAATAGAATTTCAGGGTGAAGGGGGCGTGTGAAAAAACAAGCAGCAACACCCGTGATTAAGTCCAACATTGTAAAATTAAAAAAGTTCACAGCAACAACAAGAAAAATCACTCATTACATACAAAAATATGAATCCGATATCTGACTTTCCACGGGGATAGGTAAAATGACTTTTGAGAAGGTTTTTCTGTGCCAAAAACATGTTTGGTAAAGTTGAATTAAACTTGGATTCCTTTTCACTATCGTATATTCACGTATCTGGAATGATCAACATACCGTGTTTCCCTGAAAATAAACCCTAGTCAATAACGCGAACCTAGTTCCTAAAATAAAACCTAGTCGATAGCAAGAAATCTCTACTACATATTCTAAATGATTGATAATCTATATTTTGCAGTTATTTTGAATAAAAACGTATTATTTATAAGTTAATGGATATCGGTTTTCATATTTTGTATATTCAAAAATCTCGTATTTCTCTACTTTGCAATTTTGTTTTCAATAAATGAAAATATCAGATATCTCTAAGCCCTAGTGTCATTTTTGGGAAGGACATTGAAATGAGACTCGGTCTTATTTTCGGGGAAACACGGTACATACCCAATTTCAGCCAAAGGCTGTAATTTTTCAATATGATTAGGCTGTTTTTTCATCTCCCCATGCTGAAGCATCTTAACCTTTCATTACTTATAAGAAACTATTTTCTTTCTCAACAGGAGTATGCTCACTCTAGAATGGATCATTATTTTAAACAGAAGGCTGAAATAGAATGAACATCTACAAATTTTGACGTCAAACATTTTTCCCAATTTAAATGAATGCTATATGAAAATAGAATAGACTGTTACATTTAAAAAGTTTTGAGTAGTTTTTTTTGTCAATTATTTGTGGTGGGTTGTATTTTTTATGATTATTAATATGAACTATTATATCTGTGAGTGTTCCAATTTTATTTAATTAATACTGCTTTTCTTCCTTGTTTTTGCCCACCAGACTTGTTGTAATGCAAAATTTCATGTATCTTCGCAATCATAACTCCTTCCTGCGATTTTATGACTGAGCTGCTCCTGTGCATTCCATCTGAATTAATAGATTTAATCGGACTTTGGGTTGTATTATCGTGATGTTTATGAAGTCTAAATTATATCCGTAACGTCCCTTTATAATTTCAATTTTGTTATGAAGTCAGTTCTCAATATATCTTAACCAGGTTTGTTGTTTTTTAATCAGTAATTGGTATCGATAAATTCCCTTTGCAATTTTAAAACTTGGGACATTCTATATATAGTATTATATACAATAAACAATGGAATATTTGAATTTCCAGAATATCTTTATTTTATCATTTCCTATGAACCAGATCATCCACTGCTTGTAACAAATTTTGATGTAACATTTTCATACATTCATATCTTTCTTCATGCTTTGCAATACAGTAGTTAAATTTTTCATAATTCAATTCCACTATTCAACACTTGCCTCTATTCTCACTCATCTCTAAGTATTTTTTAGAATTTCAATTTTGCAGTTTTATGATGTTATGTGATAAAAAATATGCTGACTTGAACAACTGCTCAGTGGCCTTTCTTCCTGTTCAAGATTATTTTGACATTTGCGTTTTATTTTGAAGAAATGTATTTGGTTGATTTTTGTTCTATTTTGCATGTTTGTCAACAGATATTGTAGTGGTATCTATTTCATCACAATAACAAGTTCATATATTTTTCTGCTTTCATGTCAGAGTCGGGGAAATCGGGAAAGTGGTCAAAATCTAAAAAAAGTTTAGGACGTGCTGATGGACGTGCCCACTCACCCCATTCACATCTCCTTAGACTGCTCTACGGTAATTGTTGTAATAACCTTGGTAACATAACTTTGTCTAAATGGAACATTCTAGGGCTCACCATGACAATTGAAAAACTTTCAGGCAATATTTTGAGTTTCTGATATATTTTTCCAATTCTTCGGAAACCTGGATTCTTTCTGCTGCTATTGGTGCAATGAATGCTCGATAGAAGAAGCATTTGCCTCCATCTCCAAAGTGCTCTTCAAAGATAATAATGTATATCATACTTGCTGTAAATGTACAGCCCACTTACATAAATGAATGCCGTTACTCTCAGTGTGAAAAAGTCTAAAAGAACTTCTAACATATCATTATTCATGACGAAATTATATCTCATTAGAATAACTATCAAATTAAATAGAAGGTATTATTTCAATTGTGCCTCATTTTTCATTTTTGCTATAATTTCATAGCTCCATTCATATTGTTGCTGCCATTTTTTATTTAGTACTTGACCGGGCCAACAGTAAAATTGCTTCTTTTGTGCCATCACATTAGGATTAACTCCTCTACTGCTTGTAATATAAACTGGTTGGTCCATGGTTTTTGAGATATTTGTGCAAATTTTATTTAGAATACTAGCTGCATTTACTGAGTTTAAAAATCTAATCCCAACCTTTCAAATGCACTGGCGTTGCCATCTCATCTCATGTTGTAGTAATTCGAATCAGGTAATCATCAACTTTGTCTGAAAATGATTATTCGATTGAGTGTTTTCCCAGGTTGATGAACTAGAAACCGTTCACAATATGAGATCAGATGATTTTTGTGTTCTTAGATGTGCAATCGGTGTAAGTTGTTATTTTCTTGTGCAATTGATGTCTTAATAAACACAACCCGCTGTCTAACATTAATGTTATGAAGTGGTAACATTGTAGTCTAGTCCAGGTGTTTGCAATGAGATATTGAGAAAAAAGTCGACAACCTTTTCACCCGTCTTCACCATGAGCATTCAAGCTCTATGTATATGCAGTGATAGTTCACCAATAAACGCTATGACAGGTTACCCCATCATACCATATGCTGTATAGGTATGTCCACACCGACAGGATTTTCACATCAGTAAAAAGAGAAATAAATACAGGTAGCAGTTTTAAAGTTTGTTGATAATTCGGTCAACTTTGCATGGCGGTTTATATTGAAAATGAGGTACTCCCGATGTATGTAAACTAAGATGGCAAAGACCGGAACTTAGTAGGTGTACCGGGTTAGGGTTGGGCGAAAATTTCAGGTACAAATACTACGGGAGCCAACTTGGTTCACATACTCCAACCGAAAATGAACGTTATTGCGGTATGGTACAGAAAGATGTTAGGTCATGTCTCTAAAAGTGATATAACAGCCTCCAATTAATGTATCATAATCAAAACAGCAAATCCGGTATATTTTTCTATGCCTTATTGCAAAAAAAAACGACAGACCAACTTTGATTATCAAGGCCAGACAAACAGAATTTTGCCATTTGGCTGTGAGAACCTATTTTTTACAGCCAGTTTCATGTTTATGGATGTACCTTGTTGCTTTGCAGTCCATAGCCCTGACAGCCCACAAATCAGGATGAAAGATCAGGTTACAGTATATCTACACAAGGTTGAACTAGCAGAAGAACGGCGCCTATCACGAGTTTTAGAAAATTTATTCCAAAATGCTTTTTTAATACCATAATTTCACTAGACTGCTTAATTCCAATATATCTGTACCTACTGCATTCTTTACAATTTTTTCATACTATATTTCAATAACTACAATGTGTGTGTGAAAATATATGTATTTGCTCAACAATCTAAATTAAACAAATTTGCATAGAAAAGTGCACAACATATGAATTAAACAGTGGAAATATACATGAACATCTAAACAGCAATATAAAAATACAAAATTTGCAACAAATTTTTTGGATACAGAATTCAACTCTTAACTTCTCTCAGAGCTTCAGCAACTGCTTTCAGTACTTCATCAGGATTAGCTGATTTATCATTTACAGTTGGTTTCAATTTTCGCTGATGAGCCGCATTTGTATCAGATGCCTGGAAATTGAAAGCTGAGTGTATTAAAACCAGATATAGATGAAGATTAGGATTTTTATATTTTTTCAAAGCGAGCATGGAAAAGTTGGCCCTTCATTCAGACTTGATGGTAAAGGTAGTCATAACTAAACATTGGTTATGGAACAACCCTGCGACATCAAATTCCCTTGTACATAACTTGAACCCACACAGAATAATTAGAGGTACAATGGCGAACGTTTTCCCAAGTGGTTGCCTATGAGGTGTCGCCAATCATAGGCAGATGTAAAACTTTTAAGACAATACAATGTTCATTTTAACAAGTATACACTCATAATAAAATCTGTCAACAGATCAGTGTGAACAACAAAATTGTTAGTAATTTCAAGAATTTGTATGATACTGCTTGGAAGCTAGACCATCCCATTACAATGGATATGGATGCAATGCTAACTTTAACACAAAAACTGCCCTATTGGCCCAAACAAATTATAGAAATTAAATAAAAAAAACTCAGCCCTATAATAGATTTTATTAGACACAAATTTATGAAATCTACAGCCGAAACAGATATCTCAAACATCCCGTCTATCTCCAAATTCCAATTGAACTCTATATACCTGAGATTTTGGAATTAATCCATCAGATTCCACAATTGCTGCAGCTCTTATCTGACTTACTGTTAATGATCTTGCTTCATCCGCTGTCAAAGTGTCAATATATCTAAAAAGTAAAAATTCTTATTAGTTTGAAAGTGCAAATATTGCAAATTTGATGCGGAAATAACATACAGTATAACACTCAACTGAATTTTTGAATACTTGGAAAATGATTAGACTATATTTTTACAATATCATTCAAACATTTTTAATTGAAAGTATATTGAAACCCTTTGAGAAAAACTCATTGTGACTGTTTTCTAGGCTCATATTAACTTAAATATTACTATTTGCTACGATTCTAAAATAAACAAGAACAATAATGTACATGAAATACAACCTTGTACCTTAACAAATGATACAGAAACTTCTAACTAAGTCATGTTGTTATCATTATCATCCTCACAATACACAATAATGGTGCCATATATGTCACACTCATTTTATCACACTAAGTATCATTCAGTATTAGATTCGAATATGTAGTCCTACTGCGACTGTATTACTATATTTTACCTGCACCATGCTTCTGTATCACCCACTGCCGCATCTTCTTGTTCTTCAAGCTCATCAAGCAAGTTTCTAACAAAATGTATGTATGCATTGCGAAAACGCTAAAACTACAACTATGCTTTTTGTGGATTTTAGACGATTTTTGGTGTTGTTAATTTTAACAGAAAAACTTTGTGATGATAAATATATAAAGCAATTTCACGGATAGAATAGTTATCTATTCAGGTGAAAATTAAAATACATAAAGCAATGGTTTGTGACATTTGTAAAAATACCAATTTTCGATTTCAACATTACATCACATGTACATTACTTCAGGGTACTCCCGAAGTATGTGAACTAAGATGGCGGGCACTGGAACTTAGTATGTGTAACAGGTTAGGGTTAGGTTATACACATATTACGTTCCGGTGTCCGCCATCTTGGTTTACATACTTTGGAAGTACTGATTTCAGTGCATAGGGTATTTTATAGAAGGCAATATATTTTTACAACATTCAAATTAAACTAAAATGTATGAATGGCAGGTAACTTTGGAGATTAGAGGAAAGTTTGGATAAAGTGGTCATGTGGTCTCAATTGTCATTTGAATTTCGCAGAGGGCTATTATTTTCAGGGCAACCATACAAGTTGTATACTGTCAATGAAATTCATTGCTTTTCAAAGATATGTTCTTTGAAAGATTTTAAATGTCTATAACCGAAAAAAGTTTATATACTAATTCACCAACTCACAATATCTTTTTGTGAAGAAAAAATATGCTGTCGTGTGTTCTCTGTCGCTTCTTAATCATTCCTTCAGCCATCGATTCACGAACTGCCTTCTTCAATTTGATCTTTATATCATCCCTCGGACTTGGTGGTTCTCGATGACTAAAACTATTGAACTGAACAAAAATAAAGAATGTCATTTTTAAATTTATTTATTTAATTTATCAAATTGCAGAATACGACATTAATTCCATTTATTCAAAAACGCAACAAAGCTGAAAAAATGACTAAAATGTTTTTACCCAAAATAATAATAAACCAAAGCGTTTATCTGAGAAATGATCCAAATATTTTTATACTGGATTAAAATATAACAGCTCCAGCAATCTTCACACAAGCAGCTATTGTGAAGGCCCTAACACACCTGTGTTTTGGCTGGTCTGATGTTAATTCCATCCATAATAACAACTGCAGTTTCACGAACCAATGCTGCATGCATTTCTTGTAATGGTATACTAGACAGAATAGGATTTCCTGCCAGAAATAAATTAAATTTATTTTCGCCAGCAAGATCTAATAAAACTTCCATAGGAATGGCCAATGTTAATGGTTATGAAATCTGAAACAGAACCCAAAATGTTACACGAGACTCGATGAGAGCCATCTTTAATATAATGCAACATAAACTCAGAATAACTGTAAGACCCATTCAACACTAACATAGAGGTAGGATTATTTAAAGCAAACAGACAGGATTCATCAATAATAGCAATTACATATATTAGATCAGGGGTTCTCAACCTGGGGTTCGCGAACCCCCAGGGGTTCACAGGAAGATTTTCAGGGTACTTGGATGGCAGTTGAATTGTCATGTGTAGCTGTTTTTTAATATCCTTTACTATCAGTGGAAAATAGTGCCAATTGAAAATCGCCGTAGATTTTCCCTGACTTTGCGTTGTTGTGAAGCTTTGCAGCCAAACTGGGAATTCTCAATACTCAATGTGCTGTTTGCCTGTCTAAAATCGCTCCTCGAATTGAGAAACTTATTCGCAATAAACAGGGACAGCCTACACACTATTGTTCTGTATAAATGAAATACATATCGTAAATACTTTTGGAAATATCCTTTAAAATATATTACAACTTTGTATGGTGTCTGATTACTGGAGGTAATCCATTAGGAAATGGGAATTCCTAGTTGCAAATAACTCACCTTTCAAAGTGATCTGCTTCAATCTAGTCAGAGGAGAAATTGAGGCGACAACATCTGATATTGTATCAAGTAAGTTATCAGAGACATTGAGTTCTGTCATTTCTAAACATGGACACAAGTGTATGATGCTTGTCTGAAAGTGAAAAAAAAAAAACGGATTGAGGACATATTTGAATGACAGGAGAGCTACATAAACGAAAAATAGAAATCCTAAATTATGTCAGGTAGGGCAACAAAAAACATAGTTGAATGCTGGAAGGGCTTAAACACAAAAAGGCAAAACTTGAAAGAGCTGTAGATAGAAAAAAGAATGTTCCTGAAGTATGCATACCAAGATGTCTCATAACCTGAACCCTAACCTGATACACAACCTGAGTTCAGGTTGTGCACCATCTTGGTGCGCATACTTCAGGAGGTCCGAAAAAAGTATATTTTGGAATTTTGAACTCATGTTAATTTTTATTGAACTGCTGATGACATGGTGAATATTGGTCCAATCTAAAGATCAGATACCAATTTAAAGGTACCTGCTTTTTTATCCCAATATTTTTAGAAAAAAAATTTCTTTAAAATTTCAACATTCGGCCATTTTTTCATAAAACCCTCCAATAACAAATCGTAATAGATGAAATATTACTAGTGATATTTAGATAAAAATAGATTTTCCATATATAACAACAGATAATGAGAATAAGCCTAAAATTAGAAAATTAACCTTTTTTTGTCACCTGTAACAGTAAGAAGTTAAACAGTCCCCAAATAATTCCACCCTTACAGATTCGTAACAGTGAACCAAATCAATAAGTCCCATTGAATAGATGAGAATACAAGAATCCAAATTCCAGCAAACAAGATTTATGAGAATTCTCTGAATACATATAAATCACTCAATAGTAATTATGAACAATTCCAATTTCTTACAATTTTGTTCTTGGATGCATTGACTTTCTTGAGAGATCTGAGTACTTGCAATCCTTGTAAATCTTTCAATTTATTGTGACGAATCGTTAACGTGAGAAGGTTGGGGAGGATTGGAAATCTAATCAATGACGAAATCTTGTTCACAGAAAGATCCTATATAAAAAATTCTACATTTTAAATAAGTAGTTTACACGTTGACAGCACATTTGCACCCACATACATTTGCACGTGGGTACAAATGTATGCGGGTGTGAATGAATGCGGATGCAAATGTGCGGGGTGTAATGTACTTGGTGTTGGTGCAAGTGTACGTGGGTGCAAATGTCTATGGGAGCAATCTGTATGTGGGTGCTAAAATCTACAAGTGCAAAGTACGTGGGTGCAAAGATAATGGAACCAGTTTACACATATAACTTGTTCAAAGTACGAGGCACAGGAAACCAATACTGGTTGTCAAGTAGCGAACATCCATGATTGAGTCGAACAGTAATTGATAATGGCATAAGTGGAAAATCAAATAGGCAAGATTTTGAAATTCATTGAAAAACAGATTTACAATTAGTTTTTACCCACAGACTGACTAAATTAAATTACTTGTAATAAAATAATGTTTTATATCCAATTTTGAAAAATATAATCGAATCAGTCTTTTGTTTCATCATGGATAAATCTACTTAAAGAATTATACTATGTTTCAAATATTTCTCAATGAATTTTTTTAATGTGGGAGTATATTTTTTCTAATTTGTACTCCTCTAAAAGGTCACTAAAATAACTACGTTACTCCACAAATCGAAATGTGCAGTGCACATATTATGTGGCATTCGAACCACAAAGCAATTCACATTTATTTAAGTAATAGAAGTAATTATAATAACATTTTTATCTGTGATGAAAAAATCAAAATAAATATTTAAAACTGAAAGATTTGGTAAATTTTCCCCGAGTAAGCTTTTACTTGCTTTGTATATAAAAAAAAATATTCACCAAATTTTGTAGATTACTGCATTCGGCCAGTGCTTCATTAGGTATGTATCTTATGTTGTTGTAAGATAGATTCAGAGAAACTAACTTTGTAGCTATTTCTATTCCCTGCAGAAAGATTTGTCAAGATAAAAATTGGGTGCTCTCGTAATATGTGTCCCAGGTTAGGGTTAGGCCATAATTTTATTCAGATTATCCTTATTTTAGTTCTATTATGAGTTCGGGGACGATTTGTGTTAGCCAAGTGAATATATTCCCCTGCCCAGAGGCCATCCCTTTGCAGAACTTGATAAAAAGTAGGCAAACAAAATTATTAACCTCCATATTGATACACATGTGGTACTTCTGGAGCGCGAAAAAAAATGGATACAAAGAATAATTCGTAATCCAAAATACAAAAATATCATGCCCACAGTAACAAAAATTTGATCACACTTAACAACGCCTGTCACAAATTGACTATAGAAATTGAATATAAGTTTATTTTTATTATTAAACTTGAATAAGCAAGCTGCGTTACAAATGGATCAGCATATTGCACTGAATTTATTCAAAATACAAATGTGCAATACCTGGAATGATTCTATTGCATTTAATGAAACATCTAACGATCTAATCTCAGGAAACGGAATCAAATCTTGAATCAAAAGTTCTTGTAATTCATTGAGAGATAAATCAACTTTCAGTATTAATTCAGGATAAGAGAGCGGATCATCAGTAGATGCTGACTTCTTGCGCGTTCTGTTAAAAAATATAAAACAATGTAAAGTAGATAGTGGGGTAATTAGAATAGTCTGAATCTTTGAAAAAAGTACATGATTAAATATTTTGATAAGTTGAAACTGTAAATTGAGTGAGTTGCACTATTTGACACATTTTTTCTCACATACCGTAACTCTACTCACAATTATAACAAGCATTATTGAACTTTTGAAATAAATTTGACTATAGAATAGTAAACATTTCCATACTGGGCTTATACATCCTAAAACTGAACAGAAGACTATATTTAATGAAAGTTTACAAATATACTTGCAATTTTGTTGAGAGATATTATATTATTCTAAATTATTTCAGCATATTCAGTACTTACTGATCATCCCTTTTCAAAATAAATCTATGAAACACGAGAAAATAATAAAACTACATACCTTTCATTGTCTGTTGCATTCTCTTCCTGAGCTGTTGGATTTGGTTGAAAACTTGTGGAAGTCAACAGGGGAGCAACCTGCGATGAACAATAAACAGTAGGAAATCATTTTTGACTGTTAGCATCGCTTAAGGATGAAAGTCTTTCAGATTTGAAGGTCATATTTATTATCATGTATTATCCATGTATCTGAAAACAAATAACCGGCCAACTAATCCCATACCCAACATGTACTGTTAACCAGAATAGAGGTCATGGTACGCGGTATGATTAAGCTGTCTTTCCTCTTTCCCTGGACCGACATAAATTTTGCCAGACTTTGAATATCATTTTAAAAGATTAGATTTTAAACATCAGAAAATTCGCTAGTTACGCTTGATAACAGGCTTAATAGATTATCAGATTATTAAATCAGCGGTTCCTATTTTTTTTTCGACACATTCATTCCTTTGCCTGTTTGGAAACTTCATTCCTCCCTCCCTATGTGTAAATACTCAGTTACCATTTGTTGTTGTTATTTCTGATGGACCCATAGCTAGTGATATACAAAACTTGCACTCTGGCTTTTGTACAGTTTGGTAGTTTATAATATATTACCGGTATGTATTACTAATACTACATGCAAATATAAAATTTTCATTGCAAAAATAGCGAGATTTCTTCCCAAGAACAGTTTTATCTAGTCTGCAAACACTGCATTAGATTATCAAGTAAAATTGGAGACAGCGGCAAATAACTCTAAAAACTGACAAACATTGATGAGATACCTGCTCAGCAACATCATAGATTACACAATTTCGAAAATCTAAAACATGAAAGACTTGCTCATTCAGTCGCTTCACAAACCATGATACTGGTAATGCATTCAGTTCTTTAATTTTGGATGTTACCAATGTCCGTGGTAGAACTGGCATATTTTAAAGATCCTGAGAAATGAAACATAATCAATTATAAATATCCATTAAACTATGAAGGAAAAGTCTAAGAAACAGAAAATATCAGACATTATAATATTGCTATTCTTAAATTATAAAATTAAAAATAGGTTGTTATATAAACCTTCATTCTATTTTAAATTAAATTCAATTTTGTTTTTAAAAGTAAGGACATTTATACAAAAAAAATTGCTCTCTCTGACATATTAAAGAATACCATGCCTACCATTTTATACTTTTACCTAAGACTGATTTTTAGCATGATTTCCAAGGTATCCTTTATATAAAACACTGCAAATTACATGTTTATTTTGTGACATGAAATTGCTTTTAACATTATTAAAATGTGATATTTGTTCATATTTATAGCAGCTAACTTACAGAAATCGGCGCTCCAGAAGTGTGTGTACCAATGTGGAGCTGGAGGTAACTAATTTTGTTTGCCACATCAATTTGTGTAAAGGGAATGCAACCTATGGGACAGAGGGTATAATATTCACTTGGCTAACACAGACATTCCCCGAACTCATAATAGAACTGAGAGAATGAAAATCTGAATAAAATTATGGCCTAACCCCAACCTGGTACACACATTACGAGAGTACCCAGGAATCTTTCCATATAGCCTATCCACTTTGCTAATAAACTTGCAGTGAATTGATAATGACCTGAATATCTTACCTTCAATAAAAATAATTAGTAGTCTAGTGCATATAGTGACTTTTGAGCGACAATCAATTTTTGAATATGCATATACTGGTAGTACATAACACAAATACATGGTTTGTAGAATAGTACGAATTCTCAAATATATCAAAAATCGGGTCTCCTGTAGTACACGCCCGCAGGTACTTCTAGTTGGCCTGGCTCAACAAATTTTGCATATGTCATTTCTAACCCTCACCTGACTTCTAGAAGTACTTGAGGGCGCGTACTTCAGGAGACCCCAAAAATGTATATAGATATAAATCAATATTCTACTATGGAGGAAAAGTTCATCTTATCAGTATTATCTCTATTTTGAGTTTCTTAGAATAAATAAAGCTATTTCTGGTTCCCAGATATATTTTTTATTTCGCAAAGATAAAATATAGAATACTGTCATTCTTTGAATATAATTTTGGAAAAAAAATGCACAATTAGTCATGAGATAGATTTTTGTGCAACATTATTCATACATAAACATACAAACTTGAACAAATTAATAAAGCCGTGAACACTGAACAGTTTAATCAATTGCACGTACGGCATAAAATGTAAATTAAATATATATATATATATTTTCTCTACCTTCACTTTATTAAGACCAATGTAGCTTATGTCAAATTTTTCAGTAATGAAATTTTTTGATATCCTGTTATTATGGACCACAGCCATCATTTGTCATCAGCTGTTTGTACCTGTATTAGGTTTGATTTTAGGGGTAGTGCCTTATGTCCAATTTTAGGTTTGCAGAACCAAACCATTACAAAAATGGAATTTGCTCAATACCATGGAATGTAACATAAGCTAATTTGGTCTTTTTTCGCATTATGTACAAGCATCTACAACCGCTAATATTCATCGGTCACTTAAAACAATGATACCACAAAAAAGCTTTAAAACCTATTTAAAACATAAAAGAGTATTGAAAAGGACTATGTTGCTCCCGTTGGTTACATATTTCGCTTGGCAGAAAACATTTTAACCAGGATGCATCTTCTCTTTCAAGTCTGCCACTTTAAGCATAAGCTTGGTGATTTCTGTATTCCCATTTGTTTTTGTATCTTTGAGCTTTTGAAGATATTCATTATCCAATTCATTTGTAATTGCTCCATCTACAATCGCTTCAAGATATTGTGGTGAAGGATCATTGTAGGGTTGACTCCCACCTAAATCTGTAAGTTGATAAGTCCTGCATTTTATAATATCACCAGAATCACTTCTCACATTCACTGCCAATGGTTTGTATATGTTATTATTCACACCTTCTTGTAAGTCTAAAGCTGGGAGCTCTGTGTCTGGAATATCCCATATAACACCGCATACACGATCGCTTATTGATTCTTCTATTGAAGCAACTCCCCCATTCCAACCCTTAGAGAATCGTCCGAATGAAAGTTTATACCCGGATAATTGACCATTGCAAAACTTTTTGGCAGACGGACAGCTACAGACGAGCCTATAAAGCGATAAGTTGCTCCCATATGCAAAATATTTAAAAGAATTCATAACATATGAAATAGCTCAATTATTACTGCTAAAAATGTATGATAAATAACAAGGATTAGTCCTAATTTAATTTTAAGTGTGAAATTGTATGTTAATTAAAGGCATAATGTTATACAATTCTGCAAAATTGTTCTTTGCACTGATACCTATGAAATTATCACTTATTTTAGGTTCAGCGGAGTATTCTTGACAAAAAGCTCTGAAATCCATCTAAGTTCTGTTATCGAAGATAGAATGGCAGGCAAATGACATTTGAACACATTCAAACATGAAAAATAATATGTCTAGACGCCTTTCCAGTTACTCATAACACTTGAAAGATAAAGGCAACAGTTTCAGGATTCTAGGCATTGATCAATTAAATACATAACAAATGTCTGCAGAATGTAAGAGAACGTTTCTATAATCAATATTGGGAGGGAAGGCATCGACTCAAATTCTAGTTCCTACAGTGTTTGCAGTTTGTTGACTGAATTTGTCACAAATGATGTCAATGATTGAAATCAGTTGAATATAATTCATAAGACAGAAAATCAAAATATCAAAACAGTCTATTGCACAAAAATCCTAATAAAGAAATGCTTAGATATGAGAATACAATTTACAAGCATCGAAATCCTTGTTGCTATGGTTACATTGAATATCCACTTCGAGTCGGGAAGTATTCAATTCTGACCACTGTTAGGGTATAGACAAATCATGATCGTTCCACAGCATATTATAATCCGATTTGATATTCCCATTTGCTCTAATGTTTTTTTCATAAATTGAGATATTTAAACATTATGTCTGCTGCAATTCTTTTTTAGCTGTTTCCAAACATTCAATCAGTTTATTTAGTTCCGATTCATCCATTTCAAGCAATGTAACTTTGGCATAATTCCCATCCTTTGTTTGAGTGTGTAAATCCACATTAACAAGATTCTCTGACAATGACGCTAGTGTGTCACTGGATAATGCAAGACTTAGCTGCCAGTCAAAGTCTTTTAACTGTGAAATATCCATAATCAAATCTTCTTCACAAGTTTTATATGTTGTCAAATACAATTTGTAATAAGAGACTAAAACTATAAAAAAAGTTCACAGTAATGATCAAGATGAATAAACTATATATATTAAGAAAATTTGATTAATAAAGCAAGATGGCAGAAACTCACTCAGAAGTAAAGAAGACTGCCGACCTGAGCAAAATTATTCATAATCAAGGAAGAACGAGGAGCTATTGAACCTATACAGCAGTGGTTCCCAACCTTTCATATATCTTGGCCCACTTCCGAAGGCTTTCAGCATTCATTGGCCCTCGTTTACCATTCCAGTGGTATTCATTGTGTTACTTTGATTAGTAGATTCCAAATACCATTATGTTCAAATAATTTATGCTCAACAACAAAGTGAAAACCCCCTGTGAAATAACCTTATCAAGCAATCAAACTAGGAAGAATGGGGAGTTTTCTAGTCAAGGAAAAAGTAAAATCAGTTTTGCGCCTGGCATGTTGGTCTCCTCCAACTGCTCTGTGGACCAGGGACCCCCAGTTGTGAATCACTGCTATATAGCATTATGGCATGGCAGTGCGCTATGTGTTTGTTAGTAACAAGTACCGATCGATTGAGGCAAGACCTGAACATCTTATGAAGTAATAAATTTCACATACAAGTACCTGAAAATTTTGTTATAACAGTTTTTTTGTTGTTGCGTGGGTACATCGACAGTGAGTGGATGTAAGCTCACAGCCAATTGAAAAAGGTGGTTAAAAGTTACAAATTTTTTAATACAAAAGATTCGGAGATAAGACACATTTCAAGTGGGATGTTATTAGGAGTTTAGAATCAGAAATGTTAAAGACTGTTAGTTTAATGAAAACCATAATAACAAAAAGTATGACATTAAAAAAATTCAATTGATCACGACAGTACTACAAATGTAAAACAAAGTTGAAATTTTTCCATAAAAATCTTGTGCAATAAAATAGCAAGACCATATGAATTTTGGAATTGTATGATTGTTATTAAGACCACATATCGAATGCTAATTTTAGCTATCAGAGTATCAGTTCAATATAACATTTTGAATAAGCTTAATGCACATAAATTCTGGGTTGTTAAAATTAGATAAAATAATACCAATACAAGTGAGACAAAAACTAAACATCTTTCAAACCATGACTAAATAAAATACTTTATATCTGATTTGAGGAATTCAGTTACCGGTAAATCAATTTGAAAATATACAAACTGAAAAGCTTTGATAATAAGTGCACTAATATAAGTGAATGAGTATTTGAGAATAAAAACACCATTGACATAAGATTTTTAATCAAAATAAAAGCATCACACAAACAATCCATGCAAGAAATTAATTTGAAATATAAATATAAAATAAATGAAACACTGTTTCAATCTGCTACAATGCATTGCTAACATAATATTACCTTGACTCGAAAATATTAATAATAAATTATTGCTTAAGATATTTTTGATAATATCTAATGTAGTTTAATAATTCAAAATTAGACACTTTACTAATTATAAACCATTCTAGCAATAAAAAATAACAAAAACAAATTTTAGAAAGTCATGTTTCCATCACACAAAAAGGAAATATGACCAACAACGAATTTCAGCCATAAATGAAAAATAATTTATTCATCTCTTCATAAATGTAGATAAAAGCTATAGAAGACATGTTATTTTTCCAACGGACTGGATTTTGCAAGAGGTAGATGAAATAAAACTGAAGTTTAACAAAAAGTTAAAATTTCTTTCAAACTTTTTGAACTCTGCATATTTGGATCAGTGTTTTAATTACTCAATTTTGGTCATCTTTGACTGAAGTTTGAACCATTCTTGCACGAGAAAATTTTCATTTCCGGTATCAACCGTGGTATATTCTTCTGGATATTCAGTCCACAGACCCATAGTTGTATTCATAACTTTACAATAAACACATTGTGATGATTTTCCTAAAAAATACTTCAATCTAAGAAAACCTGTGATCCAGATATCATCTATCCAAAACATAGGCAGGGTACGAGACAGGTCGTAAAAATCTTGCGCTAGTTTAAGAGTCATAGCATAGAATCCTCCAAAACAATAAGATGGATAGATTTTAAGAGGATACTCATCTTCAGCCATGAACCATTTGCTTTCTTTTAATCTCTTCGGTCTTGGTTTTAATCTGTAACCAAACCCACAATAAATAGGTAAATCTGTCAAATGTTTATATTTAATGTCTTTGTTGAAATTATGACTGCTGTCAATATCAGGCTCATCAAATAGCAAACGAAGTCTTTCTAATTTTTCTCTTTCCATTATTTCTTGGAGGTCTTTGGAAATTTTCACAAGATCTGGCAACACGTCATCATCCATGCTAGCATAAAACCAGTTTTCCGGAAAGGTTTCTACAGCCCACTGCATTCCAGCAAGAGTTTTATAAACTAAATTTTCATAAGATTCAATGAATGTTGTTTGCAATAAATCTCCATGATTTTCATTCTCTTTTTGCAAAGCAAGATTTCCTTTCGAATCCGATAAACCAACGATAAAGACAATTTCAAAACGAAATCCATTTACAACATGAGCAGATGAACCCCAGGAGTTTCCGATAAATTGACGTCGTCTAGTGTTATTTGCATGAGATTTTATAAGTATGATCATAGAATAGTTTACATCATCACCCACAAAATAGTTGTGACTATACTTCCATGGCAACATTGTAAAGTTTAACCTGTTCCGTTTAGTTTTTCTTACTTTGTTCATAAACTTAACTTGATTAAAACTTTGGACATCGTGGTTGAATGTTCGAGATAATCTCAACTTTATTTTCTTCTGCGATGCTTTTGTTTTTTCTTGTATTTCAACCTCTTTCCATGTCAAAGATAATCCATAAAATGCAGATACAGCCAGAAAAATACAAACGGTTGAGAAGATTTTTTTCTTATGCATAATGAGGAAAATCCATTACTGCATTACTACAATTATAAGATTATGTTATTTACTGATTTAGGTTCTCAGAATTCCCATGATTACAAACGAAATCATTTCTAAATCCCCATAGATTCTGTAGACTGCAAATCTATGTCAGCATGCAATATCACTGTACCATCAACACAATTTACCATCCTGATCTAGCAGTAAATACTGAATAACGAAATACCGGTAGACCTATGTCTACTAAAAATATTACGGTATTTCAATTATTTGGTTACCGTAAGACGTACCGGTGCCGGTAAGTGGTTAAGAGGAAAGACAAAAAAACGAACGTTGAAACGTAGGCTACTATTAGGCTACAGAGTTTTGTATGACAGTTCGTATAGCCATGAACTTGAAGGGCTTTATTACGTCACCGTGACGTAATTTTTGGATGGCGTAGTCAGGTGGGGGTTAGGAATTAGCATTGGCACATGCAATTATTGTTATTCTACGCGCACCAAAAGTACGTAGGGACGAAACTACATGAGACCCCGATCTGCTTCGGGTCAGTAATCAGTATTTTTTTTGCCAAACAAATTGCAATGCCAAACGGAATTTTCGTATTGAGATTTTAGAATCGAATTATTATATTTCGAATACCGGTACATATTTTTTTGTTTTCATGTTTTGGTGTTTGAATTCAAATCCCCCCCAGTTAGACTAAGGCAAATAGAATTTAAGCAAATAGTACTAGGGCAAATAGTACTTTTCGATGATGTGCCCCACTTTTAGATAAGTTGTTTTTTACTATTGGATTTGAAGAACGTCGATTTATTTGGGACATGACTGAGAAAATTGTCTGATAGTGATTAGGTCTCATTCCATTAAAAATTTATGAAGACAACTAGTTGTTTGTTGTTATTTTATTTGTAATTCGTTAGACGCCCAATCTCGACGTAAAAAATGTTTTTGGAGTCATAATAGGGTATTGGTACAATTTCAACTTTTGTTATGAAGTCAGTTCTTAATATAACTTAACAAGGTTTGTTGTTTTTTAATCAGTAATCGTTCAAGTAATTTTACTTTATTTTATACATCTGTGGAGGCAGAATCTCTAAATGGCATTGATAAACTCCCTTTGCAATTTTAAAAAAATTCAAGATTTTATGGAGACCCTATTAACCCAACACCTTAATGTGTAGCAGTTCAGTACCGATTAGTCTGAACGTTATGTCATCATAGTGATCTGATGTTGATCATGGGTCACTTTAATTAAACAGTATTAAAAAGATTCTTTACTTATAATCGAATCCATTTGGAATTTCATTGGTAGTCTTCGCGCCACTATGCACAGTTGCACATACGTCACAGACATGCCTTTCACCAAGTATCTCAGTGGTAAAAGCATAACGATATCTCACATATAAACCATGCACGAAATGCAATGAATGCACAATTTCCCTCTATGAAATCCATTGCTTACTACTTGCTAATACAGCTGGCATATGCAAGTCATATCTGTAACAGATCTAAGCAAGTCAATACTCTGTTACTGTCGACTATAATTCTTCATTGTTTGTCATTTCGAAATATTGACTTGTAGAGTACTTCCTACCACGGCTATCAGTTGCACGATGCCCAAATCATCGCATCGTCAACTTACAGGGGGTGTTTAAGTCGGATACAGAAATGCATGTGCTACTGTTCGAGATATGCAATCACCAGGCAGCCGCGAATCTTTAGCTCGCAAACTGTCACTCAACTATTCACATTCCCCCTACTAAATATTCTATAGATCCTGTCCACTAGCTCTTACGTTACGGGAGTCCAACTTGATATGTTTGGGTAAAGACATAAATAGAAATGCACTGCCCGATAAAACCCAAATTTTAAGCAAATATATTTAGTAGATCAGATGTAAATTTTAAAATCGATACGCGGAAGCCTAAAACTATTGCATTTTAAAATTAAAATAACCAAATCGGCAAAATTCAGATGCTCTGTGAAAAGCCCACCCCAATCCTAGAATTACCATAAAGGAAATTGCAGAACAGTTTTACCCAAAGTAGAAAATACAAGGGGTTTGCATAATTATTATTTAATATCTTTATTTCAAAGTTAAATCAATTTGAAATGAAAGGGTACCCGAGGAAACTTATACAATTCGCCAAAAAATAACATTTCAAAAGGATTATTTTCAAGAACATTTTCACAGCCAACAGCGCGTTATAGTATTCTCATGTTAATAGTGACAAAACAACTAGAATATTTCTGAAACAGAAGAGCATAAAATATATATAAAAAATCGCTAATGCAAAGATTTCCCAAGTTACAAGTAGTCAGATTGTGCAGATGCAAACTGAAGGAGTTATATTACTACATCGAATCTAAGAGCCGTTGTTAAACCTTCATATTTCAATGTTGATGCAATGAAATAGCTGTAAACCTTACACTGAGCTGGATGCGGACATTTTAATAAATTAAGTAAATTCCAGATTCGTCAGCATCCAGCGCTGTAAAAAAGTCCACCCCAATCCCACAGCAAATTTAGAAACAGAATTCCGCTCATTAGAAGTTGTTGAGGTAAGAAACGACACAAAATCCCTTGGTCGCATGGGGAAAAAATATATCCTCTTAGAACAAAGCAGCACAAAATAAATATAAACGTTTACTGATGCAAAAGAATTTTCAAAAAATCAGATTGTACGATGATTGAAGTTGAATTCAAACCGTTCTATTTCGAAAGGTAAAACAAATCAATAGTCGGCACGGAAAAAAATTGCTGTAAACCATACACGGAGCTGGATATTTGGGGCTCCCGAAGTATGCGAACCAAGATGGTGGACATCGGAATGTAATATGTGTACTAGGTTAGGGTTAGGCCATAATTTTAAGTATAAATACTACGGGAGGCTCTTGGCTAGTCTTCGAACTGATAATAGGACTAAAATAAGAAAAATTGGAAAAAATTATAGCCTATCCCTAACCTGTTACGTTCCGACGTCCGCCATCTTGGTTCGAATACTTCGGGAGCACCGGATATTTCAATGAATTGAATCCAGCTCTGTGCATAAAGCCCACTCCAATCCCACAGTAATTTAGTAAAAGACGAATAACACGCTTGGAAATAAAATTAAAAAAATAATAATACGAAGTAAATTTCACATAATATTAATGCTATCATAAAGTTCTCAGAAAAAAAAAACAGTTTGCTTTAATACATTTCCGGCCGATAATAGCACGGTTCTTCAGGCATTTCAACGTTCACATATTATTTATCACGGTTCATCTAGTTTCTGGTGTTTTTTTAGGGCTATACACATTCCATTTGGGCATTTTACCACGATGTAGCACGTATGGCAAGATAGTTCACTACACGTTCATTTAGAATCATTGTTAATAGTCTTAATCTGTCATTGGAACATGTTACTAACTACAAAAAAAAGATGTTTTAAATATTTTACCTGCTTTTTCTTTGCTAAATGATAATTTCAAGATTTGATGTTCACAACGCTTCTGGCTCCTCTCTAAAGTTGAATAAAAACAAAATCAGCGAATACCCACCCTACAGCAAAATACAATAAAACACCAAGGAGTCTAGTGAAAGGTGTCTAATGTTCTTTACCCGATTATGTGAGAATATTTTGTACAAATATCGAAACAGGTCAAATATATTTTATCTGGTAGGTCTTCGCCAAACGATAATTCGTTGATTTGACGTCAAGTCCAGGAACAAACGCTTCGCCATTCCTGGTAAATTGGAAAAATTTAGTTTCAACATAGCATTGTGTGTCGAACTAGAAAAACAAGATGAATGTTATGAATAGTTTACCTGCTTTAGTCTTTGCTAAACGATAATTTGAAGATTTGAATTCAAATCCAGTTTAACAACGCTTCTGGTTTCCCTCTTAAAGTTAAATACTAAAAATTCAGTTCTAACAAACTACCTATGGCGAATGATTCGAGCTACTCAAGTATTGTAATAGATATAGTGTATTATTATATATATCTTAATTTAAAGTTTCTGATTTTCTACATATGTGCCATGGTTATGTTGTCTAAAAAGTAATAAATGTACCCGTGAAGTAGTGTTCTCATGAAGTAGTGTTCCCTTTTATTGAATTTCAAATGATCGAAATCACTCATCCCAGAATGTTGATGGTGAAAAAAATTGCTTGGAAGAAAAAGAGTTTCAATCCCCAGACGAGATGTCCAAAAACCATTACATCATTCATTTTCCTACTACGTCCCTATCACCGTGGAAAGTGAATTATCAAACCCAGCTTGAAGTCACAAGGGAGGGCAACAGTGCGAGTGATAATTAGTCTTCACCCTTAGACCTATCTATCCCTAACTAGGAAACTAACTATCCGGCCGTCACATCACAACATCCCAGCGAAAGGAATTTTAGACCCTAGTTTGACACAAAGTCTATTTAAAGCGCCGACCTGATCTATGATTGCAATGGTCGAAGCTTTCCTTACATTTTCTAGCCTTCCTAAGGTCAGCTTTTTTAACCCGATCTGTATTTATCATGTGCGCGGGCGATTTCACTATGCTACGTTGAGTGAATCGTAGCTAAATGGTGCAAGCCCCAAGGGTTTAGGCTGTCTAGATCGAAGCGCGGGCGTCAGCTCCCCCTGCAATCATAAACACGAACCCAAATATTGCAACTTATGAGTTTGTTTATGAATACCGTACTAAACCCATATATAAACTGAAAGCTGACCGGCCTAAAAACCCTAAGTTGCCTGGGCCTAGAGGCAACATCTAAGAAGAATAGCAGACAACTTTGCATTGGCGCACATTGACCTAATCGTAATATTTACTTAAATTTCAGTTTTAGATAGTCGTTTTCACGTGGTTTGTGGGTTTAATTCCATAATACAATTAAGTGCGTCACAATGCTAAAGTCATCAACTACTTTTTGCCCTAGTCTAACTACCTTACCAGAAGCTTAGTGCTACTGGGCTTGGCAAAATTGAATCGGAATTCAACGTTCAGAAATCCCGTTCAAAATTAAACCAAGACTTCGCCTCTTTGATTGCAATAGCGGCCAATGGTTTTCAAATAAATTCGAATATTGAGATAATCGGAACAAATAATTTGAAACTTTTTCCAAACAATTTCTTTACAGAACTTTAAAAAGTATTGCCCTTTATTGCACCCGAGAGGATCTATTGTACCTTCCGAAATCTTTCGTCTGCTTCGTCTCACAATTTGTGAGACCCTGTACTAT